CAATGAAGGCTGACTGAGAGGCCAAGGACAGTGGCACTGGGTTTTTATTCTGCTGCATGGACTGACTTTGTGGGAGCCTGGTTTGTTTGGATGCTCACCTTTATAGACCTGGATGGAGGAGGGAGGACCTTGGACTTCCCATGGGGCAGGGAACCCTGACTGCTCTTAAGACTAGAGAGGGAGGGGGAGGTGGGAATGGGGAGGGAAAAGGGAGGCGGGGAGGAGGTGGAAATTTTTAATAAATAAATAGATAAATAAATAAATAAATAAAAATAAATCTCTAGATTCATACTCCCTTCTGCAGGGAACCAGGGGCACACATCCTTTATTCATTTCAAAAACTAAAGCAGCTGCTGTTGTCCTTCCTTAGTACCCCTAACCTTTAAAGTATCTATAAGTAAATATACAAACAGCTGTTTGCTATTTTCTTGGCCCATATTTACCTTTTTTTACACTAATATACAAGTTACTTTTAAAGTTACTTCTTATTTTACAATTATACTCGAGTTACATTTTACTTGTTTTTCATGCTGCTCAGTTAACCTCTTTTATATTTACACCGCCCGACTGCTGATGCTCCCGGGATATACTTACCGCACCTCCTGTCCTTATAGCAGAAGATTGACCAATAGGCAAATAAGGTAAAGACAGTAATTGAGCAATATGCACTCTCTGTCTCCCTCTCCCTCCCTCCCTCCCTCCCTCCCTCCCTCTCCCTCCCTCCCTCTCTCTTCCTCCCTTCCTCCCCCCCACCCAAGAGTTAAGATGAGAGGAATCCAAAGATTCTGCATATCTCCTGACTGCAGCTGCCTTAAATGATTGCCTTGGCAGCAGAGGAGCTGAAGGTTTACTTTCACTTTATCTTTGGCGATATAGTTAACAATTCTTCCAGCTGTTTTTCTAACTTACTTATCCTCTCCTTAGTAACTTTATTATACTTCTGAGTAACCATAACTGGCTTCTCAACTAACTGGGATTATCTTTTTTAATCTCATAAGTTTATGATGACCAAATCTCTTGTGAAGTTTTGGAATCATCGAGAATGGAGATCTAGCTTATGGATAGAAAAAAAATAAAGTCCTTAAAGTTTAGATCCTGATTCTAATGTTGTCTGTCAAACAGTATCTGAATAGAGGTACTGCACATTCCTCCCAAGAAGGCGAAACCTCTCTAAATATAATGCTTTTCCTGTCATGGTTGGTATCTCCTGAACTTGGAGCCAAACTAAAACCTCCATCTCTAAATCCTTGCTGTCAGGTATTTTGCCATAGCAATGAGAAGAGTGCTAATATGGATTATCACAGACTTATTTTTTTATTTTGTGTCTTTCTTTTGTTTTCCCTTCCTTACTTGAAGAAATCCCTAGGTCTAAGAAATAGCAAACACGTCACTTAAACAATTCTAATGTTAAGTATGCAATACAAAGCTTAAAAATTTATGTGGTCACATCACACCTGTAAGACTCCTCTATACAACAAAAAAAGATTTCTTTATATTTCTTCCAAAATTTTGATTTTATAGATTTTAAAAGTTCTTCCGTATATGTAAATATACATATATATGCACACACATGCATGTTTCTTTTCTCTTTCATGCTTTTGTTTTGGCTGAAACATTTATTTCATTTAAATAATTCACATCAATTTTAAATCAAATTTTGTTAAAAAATTTGAGGACACATTTTAAATAATTTAGAAAACAAATATTATTTCAAATATAAAGTAAACAAAAATATGAATGAAATAATTAATTTTTCCTCTCATGCTATGCAATAAACAATGTTATAGTTTTACTGTTTATTCATTTCATTTTTGAATGGGAAAATTCACATGTTGTTTCTTCTTGTATAACCTAGTATGATCTCTTGTAATTAACTCTTAACTCTTTATTCTTTAACGTACTATATGCAAAAAACCAATAGTTACCAAATAAATTAGGGAAATTAATTAGAATTTTTCTTTCTCCAACAATAGAAAAAGAGATCAGTGTACTGGTAGTTTTGGTAGTATTGGTGTTCATGGTGTTGGTAGTGGTGTTGTTTGTTCTCTCTCTCTCTCTCTCTGTGTGTGTGTGTGTAAAATAATAAAATAATAATTTCCACAAAGAGACATTAATTTGAAAGCAAACGGGATAGAGACCTGGAAGGAGGTGAATGGAGGAGAGTCTTTATTGAAAATGATAAAAACATAGTGATCACATATGAAACTATAGAACATTTAAAAAGTTTGAAAAAAAATATCTTTTCCAATGACTCTCTATTGAAGGGCTTTCTCTGGCAGTTTCATGGCTTTGTGTCTTGCATTAAGGTTGTTGGGCTATTTTGAGAAGAAAACTGTTCTCTGTCATCTATACTCTTTTTTTTTAATGCTTGGTTGAATATACTGAAAATATTTCCAAGTGTGATTTTTATTAGATACAAAGAGGTTTTAATTTCTAACACTTTTATTAGATTCATTTGTTTAAAAAATTATAATTTTCTTTCTTAGTAACTATATCTTGAACAGTGACAGAGACTGAGTATTCATGTGTCTAAGACCTGCATATCTGTATATGAGTTTGACATAGTGAACTCTTTAATACAGATATTTTATTTCCTTACATGTATCCTGTAGCTGACAGTGCTTACAGTGTTTCTCTGTCAATGTTTGTTTACTTGTTTTCTATGCTATTCTCAATGCTTCACGAACTTCTTCTGTATCCTACTTAATGTATCATTGAGAAATGAGTAAGACACATGGTTTTATAGCACCCTTGCGTTGTATTTATTTTAATAGCTCTTGCATTTTAACTCAGTAGAAGGGATGATTACACATGGCAAGAAGTGACAGACAAGAAAAAAGAAAAAGATAAAAATGAAAAGAAAGAAGTTGAATTGCCAGGGTTTCTATTTAGGACCAAAATTTTCAAGTGTGTGTACTCAGTCATTCTTCTCAGCAATGCAGCAGGATGAGTGTTTAACTTGAAACCACAGATACAGTGGGGGAGTGTTGGAAGGAATAGGAGACTACTTTCTTTCTAGGTTCTTGCCCTCGTCAATGAACTAATCAATAGCCTGACACAAAAGACCAATAAAAAATTTTTAGTTGGAATGGAAAGCTCTTGAAATATGAATACCTTATAGAAAAGAGGGTGATTTGTGAAAACCTTCCTTGGGAATGTAAGTTGATTTCCTTGTGGTTACCTATGTAACCATATGGGTATCTTTAGTGTGATGTGGTTTGTCTCCTATTTTATTTTAAACTACGCATTGAGATTACGTTGAGATCAATAAAATAAAATCTAGTACAGCTAGTGGTTTGAGTTTTAGCAATCATAGTAAGGCCCTTTCCTTAAAAGTCCATATTTATCATCAAATGTCACACAGAGGACTTAAGGGACTGCACATTTTTCATGGCATGTGTTATTCACAGTGGTTTTGAAAATCCTGAAGTATACCCCAGAAGGGAGAGTACCTTTGCTTTTTGTCTTGGATGATAGAGATAAGCAATTTGTCTCAGTATGTATGAGGCTAATGTTTAATTAGTTAAGAGAGGAAGTCATTGCTCAATTCATGACTTGGAGTCTGATACCCCATTGTCATAGTGACTATAAAATATAGTATAAGTGAAAGAGGCCATACATTCAAATTACTGTATTTTTTGAGAAATGAAAACACAATTAAATATAAAAAGCATATAATTATTCTGATAAAGCATAGACCCTTCTAAATAGTTCATACTTTAGAAAGAAAATATTTTATATTTGAAGACACTGGAAAATTTACCAAAGGATATTTTTCATGGATGAGTGATTTCTTCTGCAATTTTATTTTGTTCCACAACTTTTTTCAATACAGTGATGGAAAAATTCACCTGCACATAGTTAGAGGTGAGGCTATCCTGACCTACATGCAGAATAAGAGACACATGAAAAAATTTTGTGGTAATTGTTCCTCTGGACAAGCAATAACTCCTCACCCCAAATACAGAAACAAAGAAATACAAAAGTAATTCCACCGAATGCAACATGGTAGTCCCATGAGTTTATTGCGGTTACTTACTTAGAGTGGTATGGTGGAGACAAAACCAACTCTATCATAAAATGCTATTTTTTATGAAATTGGTGACAACTCACCAATGTTGCAATCCTTCAGTTGTATGTCTCACATTCAGGTCAGTTCACAAATCATAGAGCATCAAACAGACATTCAGAATAGTCAGAGCATCACTTCAACCCAGAAACTGGTCAACATTTCTACAATTTTTGTTTGTTTGTTTGTTTTTGAGACAGGGTTTCTCTGTAACTCTGGAGCCTGTCCTGGAACTAGCTCTTGGAGATCAGGCTGGCCTCGAACTCACAGAGATCCGCCTGCTTGTGCCTCCTGAGTGCTGGGATTAAAGATGTGCACCAACACTGCCTGGCTCCATTTCTACAATTTTAAGAGAGGAATTTGCTTGTATTTTTTAAGTCTCTAGAACTAGTTTAGGTTCTTTAAGTACTTAAAGTACAAAGCTTTCCTTCTTTTATCTATAAGCAATATTGTACTGATGGAAAATTTCAGAAAAAGAGTAACACAAATTTCCACTTCTCCTCTGTCTTTCTGATAATACCCTAAACCTGAGTGGCAACTATTCAGATTTTAGAACTTGTCTCATATAATATTGCACCAGGTTTGCTTTTGCTTATTATTATCAAATGCTTCATTTGAGATTGCTTTATAGAATGGGTCAAGTCTACAAAATGGTCTAGTTCTACTGAGTTAGTTTCCCAGCTGTTTTCTCACTACTGTACAGACTGGTATAGGAACCATATGTGAATTTACCATTTTTTCACATGATTACCTGATCTAAATTGAATCTATATTGGATTTGGATATATATCTGATAAGAATTTATAAAATAACCTAGCATAGAATCAGTCTGATGAAATCTAATTTTATAACCTTATATCTATATTATCAAACTAATCATAGTATTTATTTTCAAGGCAAAATGTGAATATTTACAATCATCTTTCTAAAGTCAAAAATTACAAAACTTCCTTATAACTTGTGAGGTACTATACCATTGACAGATACTTTGAGATGTTAAGTGAAGTGGACTCCTTGAGCAGAGATTTTGGTGTAGCCTCCTGAAGGCACACTTGACATCATTGTTTCTCAGGCTATAGATCAAAGGATTTATTGCTGGAGGTAACACAGTGTAGAACATAGAAAAAAGCCTATCTGTTATTGATGGTACACCTGAGGGAGCCTTCAGAAACACAAAGCAAGCAGTAACAATAAAAACAGTGAAAACAGTGAGATGAGGAATGAATGTGGCAAATGCTTTGGACTGACCCTTATTAGTAGGAATCTTAAGAACTTCGGATAATATGTGAAAGTAAGAGATCATCACGCATAGAAAACATGAAATGCCTAGACAGACACCAATTCCAAGGCTTGTATAAATTACCAAAAGCATTTTGGAACATGAAATTCTTAGTAATGAGGGTACATCACAGAAAAACTGTGGGATCACATTGGAGCCACAAAATGACATAGAAAATGTGCCAGCTGTATATATGGCTCCAAAGAGTACTCCAGTAGCCCAGGAAACACCCACCATCAGCACACAGGTACCACTACTCATGATGGCATCATAGTGCAGGGGACTGCAAATGGCAACATAGCGGTCATAAGACATGGCAGTCAGGACAAAAACTTCCCCTGATGAGAAAGAAGTCATTAAAAATACTTGGAGGGAACAACCAATAATGGAAATGGAACTGTTGTGAGTTAAGCTACTGACAAAGAAATTCGGGATTGGAACTGACACAAAGAAGACATCCAACAAGGACAAATTCTTCAGGAAAAAATACATGGGTGTTTGAAGCTGCATATCAAGGGTGGTAAGAGTGATGATGATCAGGTTGCTTATTAGGATTGCCATGTAAATCACTAGAAAGAATATTCCACATAAAGTCTGTATGTCCTTGATGTCAGAGAACCCCTTAAGGATGAATCCAGTTATTTCAGTGACATTAGGCATACTAGATTCTTTTCAGGACCTTTCAACAGGAAAGGAAAATTGATGACTACCGGCACTGCCCTAGGAAATAACACTTTTGTACATAAAAAATCAGTAGAATAGAATTCAAGAAAGTAAACATAAGGTTCAGACATGTTTCTAAAATATTGTCATTTCTTAATTCATTCCTGTCAGACCTTTGTTCTCTCTTTCTCTCCCCTCTATCATATATTCTTTGTGTGTGTGTGTGTGTGTCTCCATATCTCCATCTTTCTCCCCTTCCTCATTCTCTTCTCTCTTACTAAACTCCCCCTGCTTCGACTATTCTCCCCCTTCTCCTTCTCTCTCTCTCTCTCTTTCTCTTCCTCTCTTCCTCCCTCTCTCCCTCGAAAATTGAAATGTCCCTAAGGCTCTATATATGGAAAGACGGATTTCTATGATTCAGATATTGGGCCTTAACTTTTCAGAATAGAATATAATGTGATATAAATGTGTCTTATAATTTTAAGTCTATGGCCATAATTATATTAGAAAGAAATTTTCATGGTTTTAGGAAAGTCCTGTTTTAATTTTAGTATTAGTATGTTATTCTTTTATGAATATTTGGGCTACATCATCAGGTTATAAAACTTAAAATTAAATTGCCTCTTTTAATCTTATAGACATAAACTCACATTTGTATTAGATTGCTGTGAGTTTCGGTAACAAAAATTTGACCAACTTATTGAACATTTATGGCAACCATTTTCTTTAAGAAATATTCAAACATAATAACAGAGATTTACATAATTCTTTACCTATACCACTGCAAATGTCCCACTTATTTCTAAGGGTAAGATGAAAGATTAGTATCTTTCTCATAATTTAATTGATGCTCAACTCTGCGGACAAGCATTGTTTCTACCTATAATCAATAATGATCTCACTTAAAGGCTGAAGAAAGGTAGATTATCCAAGATGTTCCCAATTTATTATCATCTATCTTTACATCATTTACAAAAGATCACAATTAGTCTTTATTCCTTCCCCTAAACATTTTTCTAACAATGGAGGGGTATTGGCAGATTACTAACTGATATGGCAGATCCCATAAGAAAGAGTAATAACCAAACTGGGAATAAATATCAACTCTTCCAAATAAAATATTTGATGTCTATATAGCCTGCAAAACAATTAATAATTATTTATCCTGACATTTCCCTTTCGATTACAGAGGGATCATTTCTCTAAGTAGAGTAAACTGTAATTATCTGGATACTGCTGAAACATTGTGTGATGAGATTGAAGTAAGAATTAACCAAACCAGAGCCTGACCCAGCAGTTATTATGTACTTTCTGTATTTGATCTCGGAATTCTTGTCATTATTTTGGAAGACAAGGCTATTCAATACAGTTATATTTGCTAAATTTCTTTACCAACTTTCATCATTATGTTAAATATTTGATTTTGGTTGAGATCAAATATTCCTATTGTGCTGTAGAATCCAAACGCCAGGATCCCTATATAATAAGATTCCTTTAAAGAAACTCAAACTAAATGTTACTTCATTTTCTTGAGTAATTTTTATGTCATACTGTTTGAAGTTGACTTTTGAATAGTAGCTGTTATGTCTTGATACAAGTCAAGTTTTGTATATTCAAAGTATACTATTTGGTTACTAGGCCAAAATTATTTAGATAACTCTATTCTTTGTTGAAATGCAAGTAGGGAAATCTTTCATTATCTCTTCCCACTCCTCTCTTTCTCTTACTCTTTCTCTCTCTCTCTCTCTCTCTCTCTCTCTCTCTCTCTCTCTCTCTCT